GATCAGGCCCAATTTCTGATCACGTGATTGGATCAGGACATCCATAGTAAAACCACCCTTTTGTGTACAAAGCTGGATTCATGAAAAGGTTTCTTCTTCCCAATCAGAACCAGTAAAAAGATTGATAACAGTTGCTGTAGTGTTCTCTGTAGCATCCAAAATATGTGTGTAATGAAAAAAAATCAATGCATACAATGAAACAATGTTTTTTGACTTCGTATGTACATCAAACTCCCCAAATCAAAAAATGAACCTTTCAAAATCATAACAGGGGCTCTAAGGTCTGAACTGATAGCATCAATAGTGGCCTAAGTAGCAATTTTCACTCCCTAGTGTCATAATGGCTACAAAGTTTAAGATATGAATGGAGAAGCAGCAACGTTGACTGGGGTGTTATTGCCCTCACTCTCTTATTTCAATATTTTGTTCAGTAGAGGTTGCACTGGAATCCTCTTTCAGTCCACCATGATGACATCACTTGGCTGCCCTCCACTTTTCATTTGAGGATTTCCCAGAGAAGCAGACTTGAGGATTCAAGTCTGGAGATACGATTGGCCAGTCCACTACCTTTACACTCGGATTATTTAGCTGTTGGGAGCCTTTCTTGCTCTGTACTGTATATTTTGCCAAAGAACTGTAGCTCCCCAGTGCCAGCTGCCAGAAACACTTGTCTTTGTACTCATGTGTCAGAGAAACAACGATCTAAAATCTGCAAAATCATTTAGTGGTTTCCTTTTTCAACAGGAACCAAGTAAATGGTTCAGGTTACAGTCTTCAGCAGACAGCGGCCAATGTTTATAATGCTCAACAGAAATAAGTAAACCTGACGACATTTCTTAGAAAACATTAAATTTCTCTTTTAGAATCTACATTTACTATTATAAACATTATTACAAAATATAACCAAAAATCCCCACAAGAAAGGGGATTAATTCAAGCCCAAAAATGAGTACACCCCATGTACTGTCCTATTTATGCGTGTCGTGCTGAACAACGTGAGCATAAATTCAACAGCAAGCCAAACTCTTTTTCAAGAGCCAGGAAGACGAGCGCTCTTGCTCCTTTAATTTCTTTGCTGGTGTAGGCAACATTGAATCGGAGTAAAAAGTCATTGATTTCTGAAGGGCAGCTTGAAATAGTTAGAGCTGAACAAATAGCGTCATGCTTGCTTTCGAACGGAGAACCGCGAAGAAAAATCACTTCCGTCTATAAGACCTTCAAAATAAAAGCCCTGTGCCTTACATAAACTACGACAAAGTAACTATGACCCAGATAAACTTGCAAATAAAAAATTTCCCTTTTTTAACAAAATTATAAATGAGTCTTGAACAGCACACCCCAATTATAGTCTTAGGAGAAAAGGCACATTTAATCCGGCAAAATTCTAATGAACAAACATTCAACCACAGGTGAGTCTAATGATTCATTTAAGATGTGTCCAGAAGACAGGTGACTATAAAATGGCATTACTTAAAGAAAAGCCCTTCACACTGTCAACAATGGCTCCCCATGGAAGAAAAATATCACAAAATCAATTTCTTTACACAAAAAGGGGAGGGCTACAAGAAGATCAGCAACGCTTTACATGCCAGTCAAAATACTGTAGCAAAAGTGATCCAAAAATGTAAGAAAGATGGACGTGAAAACATCTTCCAAAGACTTCCAGGCCGTCCACAGAGTTATATTCTGAAGATAGGCGCACACTGCAGAAGAATGGCACGCATGGGTATCGTACACCAAGGAAGCCGGTCCCTATACTCTGGAGTAACGGGACAAATATCACTGTTTTTGGAACTAGTTGTTTTAAAACTGTATGGAATTGTAAGCTGAGGATTTCAAAGACAAATGCCGGGTGCCAACAGTGAAGCATGGTGGTGGCAGTGTCATTATGTGAGGCTGCAAGAGTGCTGCTGGTGATGGAATCATAATCTCAACAATATACTGAAGGAGAAGATGCTGCCATCACTCCAGGGACTTGGTCATTTTGACACGATAATGATCCAAATCACACATCTAAAGCTACGGCTGCATTTCTGAAGAGGAACAGGGTGAAAATGATTGAAGTATGTCTCGTGATCTGGGCCCAAAGACCTGTGGGCAAATCTGAAGCAATGAGTTGAGCATCACTCTCCATCCAGCATCCAGCTCTATTGATTTATTAAAAAAATAAATAAATAATAATAATAAAATCATTGCTTTCATATAAAATACTAGATTTGTTATGGGGTGTATAGATTTTCGCTTCAACCAATTTGAGTAAAACTAAAGATGTTGTGAATTATTAACCTTAATTTCACATTATGGGGTTAAAAAGGTGTCAATAAACCTCTTCCTTGAGAAAATTTCTTCTTTTGTTCATTGAGCTTCTGATTAAATTCATGTTTTTTAAAGGGGGTGTACTCCTTTATAAAAAAAAGTATTCAACATCTACAAACAAGTAACCAGGGAGTAATTGTGTACACTGTTCTTTCAATAATCAAAAATGCAGATCATACTTATGAAAATGAGCTCAGCTTTCATTCTCTAATAATGCAGAATTATAGCAGACAAAAACCCAAGTGTCAGCTTAAGCTTTTAATAAACCCCAAGCACACAGGAAACACTCCTCCCCCTTCACTGCAAACACACTCACACAAATCAAACGTACAGTGAAACCTAAACTGGAGGATAGCAAGTCTGCCGGCATCACCACAACTGTCCATCACACTCACAACTCTGTGTGTGCGTGTGTGTGTGTGTGTGTGTGTGTGTGTGTGTGTGTGTGTGTGTGTGCGTGTGTGTGTGTGTGTGTGTGCGCTGTGTCCTCCGCAGGGTCACAGACAGAAGCTATGGTTTATGGGCACTTCTGAAAATCAAATAAAGCTACAGATCTGTCGTTCCCAGGAGAGAGAGATGCAAATATTCAAGGCTATGTAACGACAGCCAATGTCAAAGATCAATGAGTCATGAATATTCTTCAAAACAAATCCATATTCGAAAAACACTTAAATTACCAGACGCCATTCTCCTGCAGGGCCGTGAATTTTAATAATGGATCAAAAGAGCTGCTGGATAAATTCCCAAAACGTCATAAAACCCCAACATTAATATAACACCACCACAGCTGCAAAGAACGAGCATGGGGCTGAATGAGTGAATGTGTTTTCTGAGGGTGTAATGTTTGCAGGTGGCACTCAAGGATCAGTCTGGGTTCTTACTGGTGTGTGTCCTTCAGTAATGAGAACCAAAGGGCCCATCAAGGGTCCCTCTCTGTTTCACATTCACTGATGAGAGCCTTTGTTCAGCTCTTCACATTCTCACAGCGTAAAGACATGCTGAACACTGAGCACATTTTAAGTAGCTGGGTCTGTAATGGAAGCAAATGAGGTTCACACTGTGTGTGAGTGAGTGAGAGAGAGAGAGAGAGAGAGAGAGAGAGAGTTTGGGTTGAGTGGAGGAGAACGACCGCTATCTCGGCTGATTGACTCTTTTCGAATGCCAATTACCACCACGAGGTGTGCAATAATTGGAAGATTGCTCTATGTTTACGAAGAATTGAGCATGCAGTGTAGTTAATTTACATTATACAATTATTCAACTCCATATTTGAATGACAAAGTGATTGAATTTCATTTCTTGTACAAAAACCTGGCTTATTTAATCGTGTTGCAAACTGTCTACATTCAGAACAAATTGAATTAGAAATACAAGTTCAACATTCCACAGTCGCTCCTCAACCTCAGACTGTATGTGAGCGTTTTCATGAGCTAAGCTAATTTTAAGAAGTGCAATCAACCAGTCAATCTCATAATAAAGTAGAAGAGAGTCTGGGCTCAGCTGTCTGACGAATGTACACCTGAGTGTTGTGAAGTGAATGACCTGCAAAATTATTTAAAGGTGCCATATTATACTAATTTTAAGGCAGTTAAAATAAATATTTGATCCCTCTACACTAGCACTGCACCTAATAACATCTTTGAATCACCTCATATTGTTTGCATTTGCAAAAAACACACTATTTACCCCTGTTCCTCCCAAAATCATGTTTTCGCCATGCCCTTATTGGGACTTGTAGTTTGGGAATCATGGGTAATGTAGTGAGTAATGGCCACCAGCCGCAAGTCAAATGGAATGACATGAAGTTCTTCAAATGAGAATTAAGAGTTTTCTGTGTGCAACCTGGGCTGGAGAGGAACATAAATAAAGTCCAAAGTGCATCGAAGAGTTCTGCGTAAGTTTCATCACATCACAATGGAATGAATCCACCATAAGTGTGTAGAAATAATGATGCGCTCCACACAGTTCTGTGCCTGTGTATATGCTAACAATGACAACCGTACAGTGGTACTACTCTCGAGGGGTGCATGGTGCACAGTTTGAACTGACAAATAATCCATTGATTACTTTCATTGATTAAATGAAAAAAAAAAAAATGTTTTTGCAAAGAATCAGATTATGGTGTTTTGAATTTTACACCATATTAGGTTATATTATGTTATGCTCATGCCACCAGTGCTGTAACAATGAAAGCAAGCTGAACACATAAAAACCTTACTGAGAAGCTGAGAAAAAAAACAATCTTTTTAAGAAACTCAATCACTCCCAAAGCCACAATAGCTAAAATGTAGCAAGAGCTACAGTGTGAGGTGCTTGCTTACGAAACAAGCGGCTTGTGGCAGAGCAGCAGGAGATCATAGAGGACACAGACACCAAACACTGTGACACCCGTCTCCTTCACCAGCATGGCACAGGTGCCCAAGAGCAGACTGATGGCAAATGAGAGCACAGACACTGTCGGAGGAACCTCGTCTGTTGTTCTTATTGATGACACGCTCCTAGAAATACAAACACCACAAAGAGATATGAGCATTTTTATCTCTGTAGAATATGATCCGTTTTATTCATTCATTCATTTTCCAACCCGCTTATTCCCTTTTGGGGTCACTGGTGCCTATCTCCAGCACACATCAGGAGGCGGGGGTGCACCCTGGACAGGTCGCCAGTCCATTGCAGTATGAAATCGCTTTGGCCGGGAATCGAACACAGGTCAAATGCTTGGAAGTGGGAAGGCAGCTATGCCCACCACTATACCACCAACGCTTCACATGATCACTTTTATTGTTATAGAAATGTGAATAAAGTATTATTACATAACAGTAATCTCAGCAGTGCATCAAATTGTCATCATATCACCCTTTGCATCATGATTCAGTGACGACGATGAGTAATTGATTCAATAAAAATTTATAATGTAAAGAAAAAAAACATGAATGCATTCTGTAATACTTTCGATTCATTCTCTTTTGAAAGCAAGTTGTATTACCTAATATAGGAGAGAAAGGCAAGGAGGAACAGCACACTTGCTAAGACATCTGCTCTCCCGACAATCCCAGATACCTGGAACACACAAAAATACATTTTATAATCTGTATAAATCTTAATGTGTTGAAACTATTCTTCTATCAGATACAGAAGCTAAAAAAAAAGTTTTGTAGAGACTGGAGATGTTTATGACAAGCCCAGGTCAGGTGAACTGCACAAGAATTTGAATTACACCACAGTCACTGCTAGGGGTGTAATGGTTCACGGTATGTATTGAACCATTTCGGTGCGGCCTGTTCGGTTCGGTACACTTGCGTACCGTTTCGGTATTCTGTATTTTTATTAAATAATAGAAATCTAATATTAGCGCGATATTAAGCGCAGCGGAACTATGTTCCTTGGCGAGTTTCCGCACGGACACTATTGAGTGACGAGCACGAGCGCGAGTAGGAAAATGGAATCATGAATGGCATCTTTTCAAAATAAAGAATATGTAAGTTCTTATTGTTTTGTACCGAACCGAATACGATTTTAGCGTACCGTTACACCCCTAGTCACTGCATATATTGCAGGAGACCTACTGGAGCTCGAGAGATGTGCTAGGTGGGAGCCAACAGAAATAGTCCAAAATACCAAGAAATCCTAGCTACCTCTTATATTGCAACTAAACAGTCTGAATTTTGCAGTAGGAGGGTGCCCCATTGCATACTTTCATCTCCACATCAAAGTCCCTCAAAATGAAGAAGCCAGCCCAGTCACTAGACATGAACATCATTGAGGATGTCTGGGGTAGGAGGAAATAGGAAGCATGGAAGACAAAACAAAACAATATTGATGAACTCTGGGAGGCATGCAAGACTGCTTTCTTTGCTATACCTGATGACTTCATGAATAAATCGAATCCTTGCCAAACCGCATCGATGCAGTCCTTCAAGCTCATGGAAGTGATATAAGATATTAAATTTGAATCTCACAGCACCACTATTTGGTGACAGATTTTTGTATTAACGTGTCTTGACAAAATTTGCCCTTTCTGTCTTGATTAAATGATAAAACACATTTTCAGTAAAACTAAATTACTTAACATCATTGGGGGGTGTTAATTAATAAATATGGGTTGATTAATTAATTAAGTCAGATTAACAGCAGGTATTTCTACAAAAGACTTATGTCAGGGACTATATGTTCACAAAAGATGCATCCACAGTAAAATCCAGCATGAGGTCTATAAATTGTGCGCTGAATTTATATTGCCGTCTACCTTGATTATATAAACTCAAAGGATACTGATATGAGCTGAGGCTCTATGCTTTTTAAATTGAGAAGCCCGTTTGGGAAAATGTAACAAATGAGTCAAACAAAGAGTGTATAGAAATGATTAAAAAAAAACTAATCCAGATTAACTCTAGAACTGTTGTTTATTTTTGGTGGGAACATGATTAAAAAAAAAACATGCTTTTTGAACAAATACAGCCACCATAATCGCATACACGTTGCAGTATGGGTTTGTTTACAAAGCTGCATTTATCAGCGTTTGATTGTAGTCAAATTGTAATCATTTGCATAAGAGACCGACACAAATTATATCGAAAGAGATGCCAAGGGTCAAAGTCAAGCAGGGAACTCTGTCCATTTTGAGCACATTGTCTTCTGGCATCCCATCCTCTTGTTTACTTCCATGTGCAAGTACATTCTAACCAATTGAAAAGACGTTGAGGAAACACGTACTAATGAGTTGCCCGTAGGATGTCACATGTCTGTGTTTTCAACTAGAGCGGGTCAGAGCGATCAGTGTGGTGTGAATGACGCATCAGTTGTTCTTCTTGGTCCGGAACAATTTAAACGAACTAGACGTGTGAAAGTACAGTGAGAGAAGAATCAAATACAAGGACAGAAATAACAATCAAGCCGAAAAGAAATCTACATTCCCTGCTCAGTCCTAATTCCATCCTCAAAATGCAAACACCCTCAAGTGTCCTCAATGCACTCCATTCTGTTTTCCAGCAATTTCCTCTTTCTTGTTTTTACCAGCGGCACAAACGTTTCAATGATCCCAGAGTTGACACACTCCACATCTGGAGACTCTCTGACACCCTTCCCCCAATGGCAGAATTCCACTGAATTAAACACAAGCACAAACTCCAGACGCGACCGAACGTACAGAGAGTGTGTATTTCACTGGTCTGCCATCCCCTTAAATACAAACACACAAATGCCCAAAGCTCTAGCTGCACCTCAGCGTTTGTTCAGTATTCTGGTCTAGGTGCTATGTAAACTACTTTAGTAACTTTGTCAGAACAGCATTTTCTAAGTTTATGAAAAATTCAACAGACTCTATATTAATAGTCTACCACTAAAAAAACTGCTAAAATGAAATAAAGGCTTGAAGATCAATCAATAACTGCAAATCTAGGTAAAAGTTCTAGAGATTGTGATATTTGGTCGAGTCATTCATCGCGAGGAACCCTTTAAAGGGTATGGCTTCCATTGGGGCGTCCTCCCTGCACATACTGACGATTTAACACAAACACACGCATCTGCTGGGTAACAGTATATCAAGTGCAGGATCTAAAATGTTCCACTTCTCAGAAAGGCCCAAGGCTACTCCCTGTAGCCAATTACCTAATTCCAGAGGAATTACAAAAGAACAGCTGCCACTGCTCAAGTCCGGCCGACACACAAGACTCTAAAACACCACCAGACTGCTGTACAACCAACCCTCTGCAGCAAATGTAAAGCTGTCTATAGCAAATACAGAAGGTGTACGACATGCTCCTAATCTCATTCGAACGATGGATACAAGGAAGTTCCTGTCTGATCTTGAACAAGCTGAGGAAAATTCATGGGTGCACGTGCCTCATACTATGATTTCCACTGTTACCCTTCATTTAGTGTGTTACATAAGTGAAGCTATTGTGTGAAATGTGTAGTCAGAAGTTCCAGGCTTACTTCCTGTACAGACCTACACAGCTTTAACGGAATCTCCTGGCTTTCAAAAGTGAGAGGCTGTGGCTCAAAATTAGGCATGGGCACAAATTTAGGCTCCCCTGAATTTAAAACCTTTAGCAATAATTATAAGAACTCAAAATTGGTTTGGTAACCTTAGAGACCCCTGACCTCCATACACGGCTGAATCCACTCATGAGAAAGTATTTAAAGGAGGCCAATTGTAAGTGTTTCTCTGAAGAGTGGCAACGTGGTAGCCGACTGGGAGGAATTTAAAAACAAGAAGCACAGTTCTAGTTAAAGCCTGAAGTGACCGACCAAGTAAAATCTAAGATACACAGGAGGCACAGGATGGCGAAAACAGTCACGTTCAACCCACAGACCTGCAGATGGCATCATATCGTTCAACTATTCAGCACACTTTATACAAGGAGATGAGTAATGGATGGATGAGTAAAAAGCCATTTCTCTGTGCAAACCACAAACAGTGTCGTCTGAGTTATGATAAAACACAGTTGGATAAGCCAGCTTTAGTCTGAAATAAGGTGCTGGGCACTAATGTAAATAAAATAGAGTTATGTAGAGAATGCTTTGAGTTACGAAATGTGCGAGATACAAAAGGTCTCGCTGGAAATTTTTTGCTTCAAGAAAAAAAAAAAAATTTGAGATACAAAAAAACACCAACAGTTCTGCTCTATTGTTAAGTCTGACGCTGTTGCTCTGCGCTTCCGGGTCCTTGCAGAAAGTGGTTGATTTAAGGATTGAAGAAACATTACTTGATTTTTCGCCATTTTTTTCATCTACTTAAACTGTTGTTTCTGAGAGCCATTGCACGGAATTCGGCGTTTTACATGTAAAACTTGCTTTAAGATACGAAATGTTCAAGATACGAAAGCCACCCTGGAACGGATAAATTTCGTATCTCAGGGTACCACTGTATTTGGGGAAAACAAAGGGCGTTATGCATGATGGGGAAACACAGCATTCCAGGAAAAACACTTGCTGCCTATAGTAAACTTTGGTGGTGGTTCCATCATGCTGTGGGCAGTGTGGCACGTGCGAGGACTGGAAATCTTGTTAAAGTTGAGGGTCACCTGGATTCCATTCAATATCAGCAGACTCTGAAGAACAACCTCCAGGAATCAATGACTGCTTAAAGTCTACTAAGGCTGAGGAACAACCACAAATTCTAGAATAGCCATCTCATTGAAAATTTATTTAAAGTCATGCTCGGAAAACCACAAACCTGACTGAACTGGAGATGCTTTGTTTAAAAGAATGAGCCAAAATACCTTCAGCCAGAATCCAGACTCTAATTGGAAGCTACGGAACGTGTTTAAAGGCTACAAGAGTTAATTTTTCTTTTGTGGCGTGTAAATTTGTATAATTATTTTCCATAAATCATACAAACTTTACTTCACAATGTTTGTCAAACATCTAACTGAAATGTTCTTATTAAGACCACCAATAATTAATGAAATGAACTCATGAAAATGTTCAAAAATTCAATTTACAGCGTAGGAATAAAGAAAATTGGGTTCACCTTTTTCCCTCTGACATTTAAGTAGAGATAAACAATGTTTCTGGTTTCTCCGAGGAGAGAGTATTTCTGTGTGTGGTTGGTAGGAAGCAGAGCTGCTGGTAATGTATGGTGTTTACACATAGCGGACCTTAAATCTCCGGGCCAGTGAACACTCTACAGACGGAAAATAAAATTCAGACATTAACCTTAACTCCATGTTAAAATAAATTAATCTAAGCATGCTCAATCTCAAACAATACAAGGGTCTGTCATAAATAGGTGCGTGTGAAACAATGAACTAATAACACAT